GGAAAAGCCCAGTGCCATCTCATCTTAGCGCCGCTTTCTCTTATTTTTACTCTTGTTCCCTAACCTGCCCTGAGAGACCCTGAACCCCTTCCCCCTCTACATCCCTGCTCTGCTCTCACTGTTCGCCAGCCACAGACACACACCCTCTATCTAGCTGTCTGTCCTTCTGTCTGTCTATCTGCCTGCCTGCTTCTCTATTCGTCCGTCTGTGCTAATGTCTCTCTATTTGGATGTTCGTCATCCTCTTTGTCTTTGTCCCCATCCTGACTCCACTCTCATGCAGCTGCAAGTGGGAATGGAAAGTCCTCAAAGATGAATTCACAGTTCATTGCAGTATGTCAGGGGTCCGTGCCGTGTCACACAGCTCCATCCTAGCTACGCCACTTAGCAATCCTACCACTAAAACATGCAAAAATACTGAAGAAAATGTTTGTTTGTTTTTTGAAAAAAAGATATCCCTGAAGTGAGTAAACCTGCAGACACAATTCAGTGAAGAAACTAGCTCAAAGTGTGTTTGAGTGGCGTTTTAATGGGCCCATTTGTCTTTTTCTTTCTTTAATTTTGCAGTGTGATCTTGGCCAGACTGGAAAAACAGTGTATAGAATCTCAGTCTGTTTTAGCGTGATTTTTTTTTTTTTTTTTCACTTGAGTACATTCCTTTAACCTCCAACGCTGTTGCTGTTGCATCAGTCAGCCAGTTTTCAGTCTTAACAGAGAGGTTTTTTAAATATATTTATAGATGGACACACATCTCGCCAGTCTGCTCAAGTAGGCACCCTCATGTTCAGCACTGTGCTGTTGTCAAACTGGAATAATAACCTAACTGTAGAGCACCTCCTGTTGAGCCTTACACAGGCTTCCTGGATACAGGAGGGATCAGGGACACGTTAGGGGACTTCATCAGTCTTTCTCTTGCAGTTACACTGAACACACGTCTGCATGTACAGTATACACGTTTATTCCTGATTTTGCAGCCTAAATGCCTTCAGTCCTGTGAGAATCACAAAGATATGGTGATCAAGATTAAGCTGTTTTGGGGGCTCTTCCCCTTTGCTAAGAAAAAAAAAAATCACCATCACAGAAATCCTTTATAAAAGACGAGGCCAAGCACAACTCGATATTGTGAATCGTTTATTTGAAATTCATTCCACCGTTTTTGAAAGAGTACATTCCAGTCTTTTTTTTTTCTTTTTTTTTCCTCATTTAATGTGAGATTTTTTTTTTTATGGCTGTGGTAGATGTTGTCATTTTTCTCGCTCTTTTCTTCCTGAACTGTCCTTGTTGTTATTAGATGTTTGTTTTGAGAAAAAAAACAAAACAGATCTGTGTATTTAATAAATAAACCAGCAACTCAGTTTGCAAGACAGAAAAGGAGTATTTATGGAGACTCTTGTAGTCACTGTATTAGATCAGTCATGGGATAATTACTTGGAGTTTCAGGACAGCGCTAACTGCTTGTTGTTAAAGACAGTTTCATTGTTCTGCAGCTTCAAAGAAGGGAGAATTTAGAAAAAGAATCATTTAAAATACACCTGAAAGTTGATTTTTATCATATGCTCTGTTCATTTTAAAGGCAGGTGCCACCTGAGCCAGGGCGGCACATGTGGCAGGCCAATCCCGACAACAAGCCAGCTACCGCTCGCTGGCAGCTAAATGTTGAAACTGGTTCTTGAGCGTAAAATGAAGAGTTTGCGTTGCTGGCTCTTCCACAGAAAGACTGCGACACAGTATTTCTGTTAAAACCATAACACGTGTAATTGTCATTACTGTTGCCATTCCTCTGTGGTGTAAATAATGTCACAGGCCCCTGACCTTATGCACCTTTCCCCTTTTCTTGCAGTTTCATTCTCCTGTGATGCACTGTGACTGTCACAGACATGAGCGATCAGGGTGGGGCCATCCTTACAGTGGAGCTGGGGAGCGGGGAGGGAGGGGATTTCGGCTTCATTAAGTGAAACAAGGCTCTCACTATGTAGCTAGATGACATTGTACAATTGTATATGTATCATAAATGTAAGTTAGGGGGAATTGTTTTTACAGGTCACGGTGCTCTGGGAAGTGGCTTGCCTGCAGATAAAAGCGTTTCAATATTTTTGTGAATGTGGAGAAGTTCTGTGATTTTTAAAAGCTGACTCACGGTTGATGCACGTTGTCAGTTGGTGTTGAACAATCAAACTCTCTAATGTCATGAATTGTGACAGTGCTGATGGGAAAAAAAAGTCACTGAATTAGAAAAAAGACTCTTCTAATCTTCTAATAAATGAGAACGAATGAACACACTGTACAGCATCTTTCCTGCATTTTGCATTAATCTCTATTCGACAACAGGATATTTGCAAAACAGACGCTAGATCGGAAAGCTGGTTTAGAGCTCACGGTTGTGTGTATCTCTGGGGTAAATTGAGGAATTTTGTGGTTTGGCTTTGAGTGAAATGATTGTTGTTCCTGGCTGATGGTGCATTTGCTCAAATTTAATTATCAACGAAACTACTCACACTGGTAGATTCCGGATTGCATCCAGTCCAAACTTATCTCAAGTGTGTTGATTGTTGTTAGGTGGTGGTGTGGATGAAATGAGGGAAGGAGGGGGGAATGGCCAAAGACAGCCAGTATTGTTTAAGTGTGGCTCAGGATGGATTTGTTAAGGCACTGTGTGTACGAAGATGTAAGCGTGCAAGGCTGGGGGGAGAGGGGGCGACTGAGGGTGGCGATCCTCTCGATTTCCCAGTCTGTGAGAGGCGGCGAGTTGTTTGTCTGACCTGGATTTTAGTCAGGAGTTAACCTCTTTGCGCCAAATACCGCTCCTCTGCTCTGGCATCACTACTGAACCCTAACTTCATATCATAACCCTGCTTCCATTCAGTTTCTGTCTTCTTATGCTGTCCAACCTCCTGCTGCAGTCCCTCTTTCCTCCAGCCTTCATCGTAGGCTCCTGCTCTTCTGATGAATCATTCCCTGCTTCTATGATACTGGTTATATACTGTAGACTTTGCAGAGTGAAATCATATAATCCACAATTGCAGGTTTAGCATTCAGACCAGTTTTTGTGCATTCCATCTTAAATTGTTTTTGATATAATTTTGTTATTTTTTTAAAGAAAAAAAAACATACCATATGCATATTGACATACACATGTATTCAACACTCTGAATACATCCTCGGATTAAGGACCTGATATCATCTCCTGTTGCCCTGATACAGCACTTCAAATTGTACTTATGATTCTGCAGATTCAATAAAATGTCATTTTTTTCTCAAGACTGCTCTGTCTGTACAGTCTCTTCACTTGGACACATGAATAGCAACGCAAACATAAAAATCTACATAGGTGTGCAAGGCCCTTTTTCAGCAAATGTCGCTTCTACGAATTTATGATGCAAAAAAGGACAATTGCTAAATAGGAAAACTTTTTCATGTTATGTTGTCATACCTAAAAACCATTGTGCTGATTAATGAAGTAATATGTTTAGCTGAGTCTTTTGGGGGTTTGGTTCTAAGTCTCAAAATGGTTCATTAAAGGACCTCCATTAGCGTGCTTGTGCTAATAAATTCAAGCTATTCCACGTGGGACAAGAAGAAACAGTATTTCATACAACAATTTTCACCACTCCCCTTGCAGAAGAGGGAAAACCGGCTCCAGCCAGAATTCAAAAGAAGTGGGAAACACTGGTGCATAACTGATAACACAGGCTCCTCAGAGTCTCTAATTTAAGACCTTGAGAATCTGGCAGGTCCTGAACTGCTAGCTTTATTAAATATGAACTGCAAAGCACCCTTCTCACCATTCAAGAAGTGAATCAGGAATGTTTCCATATCTAAAACCATACTGGGTTTGCACTAAATCAGTGGAGATGCCCTAACCAGGGAGAAATGGATTAATATTGTCCCTCATTTGGCAGGTCTGTCAGAGAAACTCAGAACCATAACAGCCCAGTGTGCTTCAGACCTAACAACACAAGACGAGACAAAACAACACAAGTGTACATTGTGCAATGTGTTGAGGAGCATTTGGACTTTTACACGGGCGAGACCAAAGAACCACGCGTGACACGTCACACAACGCAGTTATACATCTTCAGCTAAAGCAGAGAGGACACGGGAATAAAGGAGGCTATTTATGTCCACACTGAATGACCGCTGTTAGGCTGCTGGTGTCCTAGAGCACCAGTCATCTGTCACCTATAACACAGTCTGGAGATCCCTTTCCAGGTGATTCAATCCCCACTCACACCATAACCCATGTGACCTTAATTATTTCCAACATGACATGGTAGGACAGTGTCTCCAAAGGGATTCACACCTTGGCCTCTGTGACAGTAATGACCTACCTTGATTCACACCTGGGCTCATGTAACTCACAATGACAAAGATGGTGACTCTCAGGATCTCTTCAATGGAGACAATCCCACAAGGGGTAAAATACCCAAGACTCTCCATTAGTTTCTAGAACTAAAGAAGCCACTTGGATGGGAAGTAAAATGTCTTCACAAGCAGAAAGAAGTCCATTTGCCTTAATTTCAAGTGCTTAAGAAAACAAAAGACCTCAAAAAGGAAAATTCTGAACCTATTTGTGAGAGGTGAGACAACTGAAAAGATGCTGGGGGGAGTTTGATGACCTCTTTCAAGCATAATGGGGGGGGGGAATGTGGTAAATGGGAGATTTGTGCAGATTAAAAGGGATCTTCAACGAGGATGGTTACTGCTCCATTAGGCAACAAGATTTGAACATAGTTTGATTGAAGCCAGTTTACTTATAAAGCAGGAAAAGGTCAAAACGATGTAGTTATCAGGGAGAATTACTGGTTCAGTTGTGGTATGTGGAACATCCTGATTCACTATTGTTGTTGTGGTTGATCTTGTGAGAAATAAGAAAAACCCATCAAGCTAATTCAACTTGTGGAAGGTTCTGTCACACCAGCCCTTTGGATGTCCTCCTTCACTACAACCATGAATCTTCTCTGTGGTCTTCCTCATTTCCTCCTGCCTGACAGCTCCATATTCAACATCCTTTGAGCAGTATATCCACTATCTCTCCTCTGCACATGTCCAAAACATCTCAGCTTTTCCTCTTTGTCTCCAAACCGCCCACCCTGAGCTGTCCCTCCGATGTGCTAATTTCAGCCTTGGCCATCCCAATGAAAATCTTAACATCTTCAACTCTGCCATCTCCAGCTCAGCTTCCTGTCTTTTTATCAAAGCCTTTATCTCCAAAACCATACATCATAGCAGGTCACCAACATCGCCTGCTAGTCTTCTGTCACAAATCACCCCTGAAACTCGTCTCCACCCCCTGGCTACGCTCTCTGCTTCACCTCTCTTGCGACTGTCCGTTGCTTTGGATGGTTGACCCCAGTTATTTACACTCATAGACTCTTTCTACTCTTTGTATGTTCTCTCTTGCTTCTCCTGACTTAAGACTTTATTGACTTATTATTGATTAAAGCTACAAACTGTCCTTTTGGTCACAAAGTAAAGATTTTGGGGGAAGTCATCCATGGAGGCCAAACACGCCTTTCTTGGGCAAACGTGCCTGAAAGCCAAAACTCCGGGTTAGAAAATCACACGTGTTTTCTTTTCCCCCTTGCACGTTCGCTTTTTGTGTAGGGCGGGGCGTGTGGAGCTCTCCGAGTTCCTCCGATCTGTTCCGATCTTCGCCGATCTTCTACCCCCGGTGGTAAGGTCGCTGTTTGTGCTGCGTGTTCTCCTCACATCCGCACAGTCTGTCTCCGACCGAGCTCCCATCATGGTGGACATCTTGGTGTTGATGTTTTTCGCCGTTATGGGCCTCGTCTTCCTCTCCTACATCATCTACATGCTGTGATGAAGATGCGTCCTGGTCAGGCGGTGCTGGAGCCTAACGGAGGATGTTTGTTTTTCCTCTCCTGCATCCCCGGTTTACGCCACAAACAGAGGTGAGTGTTGTATTTGCAGGTGTTATTAAGCGAAATCCTTCGGTGGTGGAAAATGAGTGCATATACCCGAGAAAGGCCGGTGTTCCTGTTGCTGTATCGATTTTTGGGATGATTGGTTTCTTTCATCGCCGTCAGTGTTACTAAGTTGCCAGCGACAGACCTGTTAATGCTTCCCATGTTTCAGGGAGTAGAGCCACGGCCAGGCCATGATGGTTCCCTTTGGAGCTTTCATGTGGGGATGAGAGGAGCGATCCAGGCAAGAGAGGAAAAACAAATGGAGAAGAAGTGGAAGCCAAACTGTTTTGCACTCTGCAATCATTCCCCTCCTTCCTTCTTTGGAACAGTCAGATCTGACCAGGATGCCCAAACAGAAATTTTAACCCTCATCATCATTTTCTGTGGTACTTCTGTGTCAGTATTACTGTTTAGAGGAGTAGCGATGTTACCTGCACATAAGGATCCAGGATGGCATTCATAAAGGTGTAGAATTTGCCTTTTTTTTTTTTCACGATGTGAGATTATTTTATTTTATTTTATTTTTAAGGATGGATTTGATTTGAAGTGTTCAGTTTGACAGTATTATCCAGATGTTTTATCAGCTCTTTTTGCACAGGTTTGTGTTTCAGCAATCCGTTGGAGAGCCTCAGTCACTATACTTTCCTTCTCACTGTAATCATCATTGTCCACTAAATTAAGAGGAATGGAAAGGTATTTGTTGCACTATATCAGTTGCTTTAATGTTCTGAAGCTTTGCAACTACATTGCTCTTTTTCTGTTTTTGTCCTTATTTTTTTTTGGCCACAGATGACATCCACAAAGAGGTGTTGTTTGTGTATATCTGAGTTTCATACTATCTGTTATTTTTAAATAATGTTCACTGATGCACACACAATTTTCTGATAATCGTGAAATGTCAAATAAAGATGATTCCAGTAAACCCAGCTGCCTTCTCTTTCGCTTGTTGGAAAGCAAAGTTGAATTCATCCTTTTTGGGCATTATCAACTGTCACGGTCAGTTTTCAAGAAGATGACAAGCATTTCATGGTTTGAGCTTCTCAAATAGATGGAGGCTTTCCTGCTTATTCTTAGGTGTATTAAGTTTAATACATTTGTTCTTGGAGTGACTGACCAAATCACTATTTGTTGTTGTTGTCCACAGATACTTTTATTGAAATTTATATTGCTTGAGTGGTTAATAAGCAAAAGCAGGGCTGAGGTTGCACCAGACCACTAAAAGTGGATTGTGTTGCCATATTGATGTAACCACAGCTGGAAATTACAGGAAAGAATAATCCTGGGGGGGAAAAATAAGAAGAACTGTTGTCCTCCGCAATTCAATATTAAAAAGGTCTTCAAACAAGAGTCGAATGTAAAGGCAGAGGCTTTAAAACATGTTCTAAACCACTGGTTAAAGTCCAGAACAATAGGGTCAGGTTAAACTTTAGCAGAAAACCTCTAAATGAGCCCACAGAGTTCTGAAAAAGAATTCCTTGATCCAAGCAGATTGAAGAGCAGAGTGTGGCTCATGACCATAGCATTGTACGCTTTTTGGTCACTCGAGACACGACTGAATATAGAGAGAACATATTTCATCCCTCTGAAAATGGGGGACTATGTACAAAACTCTCTATAATTTTTAATTAATACAAAACTTCTATCAAACTCATTGAATTAAACCTGAAAGTCTGCTCTTCAAGTACATGTTGATAGATTTAAAATCCACCGTGGGAGGTATCCAAGGGCAAAATTACAAAAAAATAAAATAGACCTAATTATGCTTTTATTATGAAATTTCTTAGGCAATATACTTCACAATTTTGTAATTTTTTTAGTCTGGTATGTTTATTTCTCTAAATAAAAGGCATATTGCACACACAAAAATTCCACTCGAGTGTTCTGTGAAGTAATGTCATGCTGTAAACTCTGCACATCACATCCACATTTCAGCTACTGAGAAAACATTTGAGCAGGATAGATATTTTTAACCCTTGAGCATGTTGGAAAAATATTCATTCTTCTCTAAAAAGAATGGGTATGACCTGAAGGATGACTAACAGTACCATATTCCATGCACCACATTTCCTGCCAAACCCGCCCCACGCTCTGTAGCTGTTGTGGATTTTTGTGCCAGATGCTCTCCTGCAGATGGTGCTGTTGACCTATAGCAGGCTGTGGGGCCTGACCTGAGAGCAGCTTATCTGTAAATAGATCAGAACAATCCAGATGCATATATGGAACAACAGGTTACAGGAGGTGGGTGGATAAAGAAAATACTCACGTGAAGTTTTTCAAGTTGATCACAAAAATGCTTGAATTCCAGCTAAAGGCATATTTTAGTCGCTACTCAAACCAAAGTGTACTGTTACACAAAACAGGATTTATTCAGAATTTTCTATTTTATCAACAGATGAAGGCTCCTCTGTCTTATTTCTCAATGAGGACTCTTGAACATTTGCATCTCTCTGCAAGGTCACAGGTCAGCTTCTGCATAACAGTGGATGTCTTACCCTAACAATTATTTTTAATGAATCCTGAAAACACGTTGTAATGTTTACTCCTTTAAGTTATATGAACTTAAGCTAGTTAAGCTAGATTAGCACAAAGTGTAGAAACATGGTAACATGGCTAACCAGGTTCACCCCTTACTCAAAACGTTTAACCTGTATGAATTACACAAATATAACATAATATGTTAATTGGCGAGCTGTAGAGTTGCTGGAATGTAGATTTAGTTTAGCTTTTTTTCCTGCTTTGTTCTCACTTTTATGCTAAGATAAGCTAAATATCAGTAGCCATGCAGTGTAAACATAAACTGTAGCAATTTCAATCATATCCTTTCTGAAACTATATAAATCTATTTCCTAAATGTTAAACTGGGATGCATCAGAGTCGACCCTGATGAAAGCGTTGGTCAGTCAATAAAGTTGTTCCTCTTCCCTTAGGTGTTGCTGGAGTTCCTGCATTGTGAATTGTTTCATCCTCTCCATGCACCTTGGAAGTAGGTGAAGTTGTGCCAGAAATTTTTGCTCTAAATGTTAAACTACTCATTAATTCATTCCTTCCCACCTCCTCAAAGCACTTAGCTAAAGTTTCTCCCACATAGGCAGATAGAGCCCCTCTGGGGAATGATCAGAATTCCTCTGCTGATAGTATAAGCTACCGCTCTCACCATTACAATACACCCACTGTTTTATCAGAGAGCACACACACACACACACACACACACACACACACACACACACACACACACACACACACACACACATGTGCAGTCATTTTACTTCAAACAGCATCTTTGGCACGGCCAGATCAAATGACACTGCAGCAAGCTGACACTACACTTGTGAGTCTTCATCTGGGTTAGAAAGAGAATGAAGCATTGAAGCTGGACTAAAGGAAAGATTTCAATCACACTCCTGTTCGCCTCATATCAGATTGTGTCACAGCTATGTTTTGTGTCCCCTGAAGCTCGACAGGCCAGAAACAGGTGCTCTTTTGTTTCTCAGCTGCAGAGACCTTGACTTTCCCCCGGAGCCATAGTTGTGGTCTAATGCAGTAACACAGGACATTTATATGTGCTTATAATTACTTTAAAAGGAGAAAAAATAATCTATATAGTACCCTAGCACTGCTACAGCTGCTGACAGCATTCCTGGCATTCCCGAGGATATTTCGTTGTCTTTTATATTTTTGCTTAATTCTCTGGATAGCTGGAAGAATGTGCACAACATTACATCATGTCCAGATGCTTCCGGTGCAGACTTTGATGGCTGAAATGTCATCGATTTAAAACCTAAATGTTTTTAGGATTTAAAGAAAAAATAACGTGGTTCGTTTTAGACAGAACATTTTTTTGATGCTTTTTTTCACCTTGTTCTCCATTTGTCAACTCTGCAGCTTAAAAAAATGAACCTAAGGAGCCTTTCTGGGAAATAAACTGTAAGTAATCAGTCACTGGAAGAGAACTGGGAGCAAACTGAACACAACACAATCATAAAACACATCAAGTCGTTGAGTGGGAATAACAAATAATATAAGGAAAGACTTTCCCGATGTGAAGTTTCCTTTTAAATTAATCCTGCACAGTTATGGAAAGCCAGGAGGAACACATGCACATCGACAGCGTAATGCATAAACTACTGCCTGCTTAAATAAAGGATAATAAGTTTACATCTTTTTCAAAAATCTCTATATTTCCATTCATGAAGGCGTCTCCTGATTTTAGATGGTGATGATAATAGATGTTGTGATATGATGAATCTAATGTATATGTATGTGTTCAAAGTTCAAATATCAGAACCCGCGTGACTAGATTGTAATAACATCTCGTATCTGTGGCACCTTTAACCTCCGGCAACTTTTTGCCAGTGAGCCGGAGTTTGGGATTGAGAGGATAGAGAGTGTAGTGATAATAATACAATAGGTGAAGATGGAGGGAGGTGGAGAGGATAGAGGCAGAGCAAATAAAGAAAAAAACAGGCAATGAAAGAAAAGAGAATGAGGGAAGGGAAATGGAGTGCCTCTGTGCTTATAGCCGTGGCCTTCAGTGTTAGAGTTCCTGTTGTTGTGGGGTGGGAGTTTCCCTCTGTGGCGGCAGTGAGGGAAATGGCAGAGGATGTCTTTTTCCTGGCTGACCAAGAATGCCCGGCTCTCGAGGTCTTTTCTCCTCTCGTGTGTGGCTTTTAGTCATTTTTTGCCAAAGTTTTTAGTGTTAATAATACAAACATCTCACCACAAACTCCTCGTTTTCTTTTCATTTCATTTGGAACACTGATGCGTTGCGGGTGAACTATTTTCTCCCTGGGGGCACGGGGATATCTGCTCTTAAACGCCCAACAGATCCTGACAACAGATTGGACTACACGTCCCAACATGCTCCCCTCACAATAGGAGGCGGGGGCCATAAATCCTGCCAGCCAATGGTTTTACGTGAAGGGGTTCTGTGGTTGGTGAGCTGCACGGGCAGCTGTTGTCAATGGCAACAGAGGTTTGCAGGGAAGCATGAGCTGGACAGCTGGTAGAGGGTCCTCTGCTAGGAGTCACATGAGCTCCCGGCAGCCAATCTCATGCCTTCCGCCTTCCTCTATCGGCTGCTTCTTCTCGCTCATTTGCTGTTCTGGTTCTCTTCAGCTGCAGCAGGAGGGGGAGGGGAGATGGAAGAAGAGGAGGGAAGTGGAGACAGGGAGAGGGAGGGAAAGGAGGCGAGGCCAGCGTACACAGGGAACGAGTGAAAGAGAACGAAAGCGGAGAGCGGGAGTCTCTTCCTTCTGTGTGGCCATCAAGCAGAGAGGCGAGAATTGGACGTGCACACTGTTTCCCCTCTAGCTGTCACCCAGAGCGGCAGGGGAAGAAGAGGAAACAGAGACAAGGACAAAAGATGAGTGTCTAGCTGGATGTTTCAGGCTGTCACACTCAGAGACAGAGTTATGCCTGTGTGGAGAGGCGAAGCAGCAGCAGCAGCGCTCGGCTGCCAGGCTGCCTCGCCTGTGTGACGAGAGCAGGACTGCATTTCTGCTGGGAATACTAAACCAGGAAAAGAAAAGAGAGAAGACAGGCAGCCGGTGATCTTGTGCCATGACTGGGAAGAGGAGGAGGGAGGAGACTCGTTGAAATCATGGACCAGGTGAGGATGGAGATGAGGAGGAGGGGAGGGAAGGAAGTGAAGGGGAAGTGAAGGGGAACACCACCTTTAATGTGCTCCACATATCCACACCTCTCTGACACAAAGCACGCAGCGCAGACGCAGCAGTGGCTCCTGGTTTATTCATAACATGCATCACAACTGTTTTCATTCCCTCGAGGCAAAAACCAACTGCACAGCATGCTGCCGAACCCACGGTGTGTGTTTTCTGATTCACCCCCGGCGAGCTGGTTTTCACTCTGAGTGGGTGGGGAGGGGGGGGAGAGGCCGGGCCGGCAAAGGTGTCGCCACCGGCAAGTG